CTTTCATTTCCGGGATCCAAAAACATTTCGACACCCGGCCAGGAGAAGACGAGCGAGAGGAGATATGTTATGGAATCGACAACGTCAACGAGGGGGCTATACGACACCAGAAACTATGACTAACAACCACTCAGCATAGTCGCAGTCAGTTAGTTATGTGCCATGCGTGATACACGCTTAGGTCATCATGTATTTTTCGATACATGACGACGAGGCAAATTTTTTCCCGCAGTAGGTTGTCATTTCTTTCTGCGGTAGACCAGTTGCCATCCAAGTCTATACAACTCGGTCTGTCCTGCTATTTACCGTACAAACTGGCTCTGGGTGTTGAAGAAACACCGACATGCTTGAACGGGCATCTACAACAGGGATTAACTTGATACTTTTGAAGATAGCTATACTAGGAAACTAACAATCATTATTCATCTGTATTGATATAAATATAACTTCGTTGTCAATCCATCAGATACAACAACATAAGCTTTTACATGTGTCTTTTTTATTTTTATTTTGATAGTGATATCACCGGCCCTTTTCCGGCTTGAAGATGATACCGGAAATATCCGACTCATCCGAGAATTAGATTATGAAACAAAACAATCGTATACTTTGTTAGTAGTGGCCGTTGATGGAGGCAATCTAAAGGTAACGAACAATGTCTAAGTTTTTCTTAATTTCTTTTAAACGTGAACATGAAAAACAAGGTTATGGCCATCTTTGATATCAAATTATTATATACAAATATACCCATTACAAAATGCCTCAACATATTAAAAAAGCACCTCAAAACATTCAAAGACAAATTTCCTCCACCTCTATAAATTTATGCACTTATGCCAACTAATCACTAACACTGTTTTTTCTCTTTTAATTAATTCTCTATAAGCAAAAATTCGGTTTACCTATGGGATCACCAATAAGCGGCGTCATCGCTTGTCTGTTCCTAGAATTTGTAGAGGCTGGCCCATTTAAACACGTCATGCCTAAAAACTCCATTTACCTCAGATATAAAGATGACGTTCCTCTAATATCTCCTCACAATGAAACAAGACTTAAAAAATTAATAAAGTAGAAATTACCACTGAATTCATATAGAATCAGGAAATAGACAAATCTCTACTTTGCGTCGACATCTTATTAATACGTAACAATAACAATTTAGATTTTAACGTTTACCGCAAATCAACTAACAAAAACGATTTAATCAATTTCTATTCCCATCACAGCCAAAAAATGATTAACCATAGGATTTCACCTGAGAGCCCTTAGGATATATAGCCCTGAATACCTAGATGAAAAACATTTAGGCTTCTTCACTATCCACATCATTTCATCCTCGACGCTAAAATGTTCAAAAAAGTCTAATATCAAAAACACAAAATTCATAATCTTACCTTCCAACACTTTATCCATAAAATCTGAAAATAAATTAGTTATCTCCGACACTAAGATCTTTACCACAACCTCCAAGACAATCGGATATATAACTAAGGACAAAATAGATCCAACACCGCTTCAGATGCAATGTAGAAATAGTTACATTGATGAAACGTCAAGGAATCTAAAAGCCGATATCTACGAACATAAGAGAGACCTACGTTGGGACAACCCCTTAAATTTGCTCGTATTACACAGGAACAAAACTCGCCATAACTTTGATTTTATAAATAACATCCTTATTTTAAAAATAACATTCTTTATGCAGGAAATATTTCGAAGGAATTCTGATAAATATTTTACAATCTATAAACATCCCTCAAATATGGTATAACACCAAATTTTATACTTAAAGATTCCATATTTAAAGAATCTAAGATATGTGTATCTACTATCGCCACAATTACAATCGGTGTCACGTAAAAATATCCCAAAATCAACATGCGGACAACCACCAAATATAAATAAAAACGTCTACCACACGCACACACACACACACACACACACACACACACACACACACACACACACAAATGAATATACATTCTCATCTGAATCTCACATAGAAAAACTAGAATTATGATTCACTTACACTTTCCACATGAACGCTGCTTGACAAGACAAATGCACATGAAGTTTGCTTAGCCAATGAAAAACAAACAACCCAAAAATAAAAATACCAGAATTGTTTTCTCTATATCTCATTCTCTGATGAAGCTTTGATAAAGACGAAATATGTTAGATTTATAAACGCTTCTTATTTGTTCCTTATCCTATCATTCTGTCAGATTCCGATCTATATTCGATCTGTATTTGATACCAATATATATATATTACCAAATTGTAGGGACAATTCCAAGGAGGATATTAATCCAGAGAGAGAGAGAGAGAGAGAGAGAGAGAGAGAGAGAGAGAGAGAGAGAGAGAGAGAGAGAGAGAGAGAGAGAGAGAGAGAGAGAGAGAGAGAGAGAGAGAGAGAGAGAGAGAGAGAGAGAGAGAGAGAGAGAGAGAGAGAGAGAGAGAGAGAGAGAGAGAGAGAGAGAGAGAGAGAGAGAGAGAGAGAGAGAGAGAGAGAGAGAGAGAGAGAGAGAGAGAGAGAGAGAGAGAGAGAGAGAGAGAGAGAGAGAGAGAGAGAGAGAGAGAGAGAGAGAGAGAGAGAGAGAGAGAGAGAGAGAGAGAGAGAGAGAGAGAGAGAGAGAGAGAGAGAGAGAGAGAGAGAGAGAGAGAGAGAGAGAGAGAGAGAGAGAGAGAGAGAGAGAGAGAGAGAGAGAGAGAGAGAGAGAGAGAGAGAGAGAGAGAGAGAGAGAGAGAGAGAGAGAGAGAGAGAGAGAGAGAGAGAGAGAGAGAGAGAGAGAGAGAGAGAGAGAGAGAGAGAGAGAGAGAGAGAGAGAGAGAGAGAGAGAGAGAGAGAGAGAGAGAGAGAGAGAGAGAGAGAGAGAGAGAGAGAGAGAGAGAGAGAGAGAGAGAGAGAGAGAGAGAGAGAGAGAGAGAGAGAGAGAGAGAGAGAGAGAGAGAGAGAGAGAGAGAGAGAGAGAGAGAGAGAGAGAGAGAGAGAGAGAGAGAGAGAGAGAGAGAGAGAGAGAGAGAGAGAGAGAGAGAGAGAGAGAGAGAGAGAGAGAGAGAGAGAGAGAGAGAGAGAGAGAGAGAGAGAGAGAGAGAGAGAGAGAGAGAGAGAGAGAGAGAGAGAGAGAGAGAGAGAGAGAGAGAGAGAGAGAGAGAGAGAGAGAGAGAGAGAGAGAGAGAGAGAGAGAGAGAGAGAGAGAGAGAGAGAGAGAGAGAGAGAGAGAGAGAGAGAGAGAGAGAGAGAGAGAGAGAGAGAGAGAGAGAGAGAGAGAGAGAGAGAGAGAGAGAGAGAGAGAGAGAGAGAGAGAGAGAGAGAGAGAGAGAGAGAGAGAGAGAGAGAGAGAGAGAGAGAGAGAGAGAGAGAGAGAGAGAGAGAGAGAGAGAGTTTCAATGTAAACTATTATAATAGTAAATCAAGAAGAAAACCTTAAAGATCTATTTCGGTTATAATTCATTTCGTGAATATTTCCATATATTCATCTATTCAAACCGAAAACCTTTAATAAATGAGGATAATTTCCCCTGACTGAGATACTAGATTGACAAGGAGGAGAAGAAAGAGGGAGAGGAAGAAAGTAAATGACAGATTACTTCTCTTCTCTCTTGCTCCCCACACCCCCACATGTCAATCTAGTATATCAGTCACGGGGAAATTGTCCTCATTTATTAAAGGCTTTCGGTTTGAAGAAGTAAATACTATTTTAGAAATGACAGACATTCTAGAAAGTCGAAAGTTTGGATCATATTTTTTGTACTTTTCTTCCGAAAAGAACTTATGAGAATTTATGACGGAATTTCTTCCTTGTCTGAGAATGATTATTCGTAACTTGGAAAAAGTTGATCATTAAAATTAATCGATAAAATGTATGTCATTTTGAACAGTATTTGCTATATATATATATATATATATATATATAATGCAACCTCGGTTCTCGAACGTCTAACATGTCGAACAAATCGGTTTTCGAAAAGAATATTCGAGATGAAAATGCCTCGGTTATCAAAGAAAATTTTGGTTCTCGAACAACGCTGCCGAACTGAGCCGAACAGAGTTAACTCGAACGGATTAATTTCTTAGTCGACCGCCATGTTGTATACATTCGTGTGTTGTGCTGTGCTTTTCTTTTCCAATTTTTATTGTACTGTGCCTTTTTTTCTCTTCATTAGTCCTCAGCCATGGCTCCAAAGAAAGCTAGCAGTGATACTGGTAAAGGAAAAAGAAAAGTTAAGAGAAAAACAATTGTTGATGATATTGTCTCTTCCTACTCAGTTTCATATGACAAAATCAGACATCTATAATATTCTTATAAATAAAGAGATGATTAAGTTTTTTCTTCCCCCTTTCCAAACAATAACATATCTTTCCTTCCTCTTTCACATACGCCATCAATTCTCCTACATGCAGGTACGGCAATATTGAAGTGTTCGTCTATGTTTTATCTGTTTAGTATTGTTTTTTTTTTTTTTTTTTTAGATTTAATGGTTTTCATTAGTTTGTGTATAAACTTGAGTCAAAAGTACTGTTGTTAAAGTTTAAATAAGCAATCATCTTCGGATCAGGAACGGATTAATCCATTTTACAATGATTCCTAGTGGAAAAATAGTTTCGGTTTACGAACATTTCGGGTTACGAATGGGCTTCAGGAACGATTCAAATTCATATATATATATATATATATATATATATATATATATATATATATATATATATATATATTCAAATGCATATATATATATATATATATATGCGGAGTACAACATGTTATTGAAGCTTTTAAACCGGATATTTCATAAGTATATATTAAATATATATACGACCATCGCCAATTTATCTGTTCCTAAGGACAAGTTTCCAATTTTTTTTCTATATTCATGAATCCTGTTATTTTATTATTACATACTTAATGAATTCTTTGTTTTCATAGGCGACGAGTACTGTCAGTGTTGTTATTGAAGATGTCAATGATAATTCACCTGTTTGTGCCAAGTCTATCCTGCGCATGGCTTTGAAAGAAGATGAAGGTTAATTTACTATATTCTATATCGATTTAACTCTAAAACAGTACATTTAAATGGATATCTATCTATCTATCTATCTATCTATCTATCTAAGATTCTATTGAGCTTCATGTAATTGACAAGCCCAACATCTAAACATATGGTCGCCTCAGCTGCACTTAGGATGTTGGAAAATTGTATGATATATATATATATATATATATATATATATATATATATATATATATATACATTATATGTATATATATATACATTATATATATATATATATATATATATATATATATATATATATATATTGAAACCTAAAAAAATCATATTATTATATTCTATTGAACGTTTTGGAAATTATTCGGTAATAAACGGAAATTTTAAAATTTAAAAAAAATTGTAGGAATATTTTTAGGTTGGTCACTGAATTAAAATATACGTGCAAACATGCCAATTTCCATTTCTGTCTGGTAACCACCTCTGGTTAGTAGAAAAAGAATATAAGCTGAAACATCACTTGGAACTCAGTTTTATGAATCCTTCTGTATTTAAATTAATATATATTTTCATAAATGTAGTATTTTAAATTGAAATTTGAACGTCTCATTGTCAAGAAAAGAATCAAATACTTGTAAACACAATTGATCAAAAAATGTAAGATAATTGTGTTTTAGTTATAGAAACCTAGTCTTCAAAACTGTACTTGTTTTCTAAAAGCCGATTCATATATACGCCATTTTGGTTATCTCGTTCTGCTACAGGAGGGCATAAGATTAGGGAAGTTAGAAACTCCAATGTTCCAATCATTTTAGCACGGACGTTGCCAAAACTAAATTCACCTTGCGAAGGCGGTTATTTGGTTTTGAGCATCGACCAATGAGATGCAAACTCAATTTCACCCATATTCAGGCATTTTGTGAAAATACGCGATAAAATGATTTCTGATTTCTTTTTCGAAACATTTCACCAAACAAAAAGGCCAGGACTTCTTTGTACAGAATCCTGCTTTTGCTGTTGACAGATTTTCACTGACAACCACTGGGACTGTTGTTTTCAGTTGACATGCAAAACGCATTTTTAATTGCCTGCTACAGCGTGATACAAAAATGAATGCTTGGCATTCCTGATTAAAAGACTGCTGCAAATGGCGGAACTTTGTGTTCGGATTTCAAGAAAAACACAGCGAGGAACCAAAATTAATTCTTTGCAAGTTTCCCAAATTAAATTCTGAAATGCACTATATCTGATAGAAGGGATGATAAACTAATTCTACACGAATTTTCGTATCATTCAACTTTGGTTCTGCTTTTATTAGCTTCACAGAATTGAAATTTGTAATTAGTGTTTTAATATTTCATTTTTGTTTGATTTTACCGTTGTTTGAATTAAAGCCACCGCGTTACTTTCTCAGCACTCAGTTAGATAGTTAGATAGTATAACCTTGATTTGAGGAATATCGGATTTAAGGAATCACATGTAGATCACATGGGACATGTTTTGTTTATTATTTTTAGGCCATTGTAGGTTTTTTTTCCTGTTGAATTCGGGGAAAATCATTTAGATCAAGTCTAATATATAGGTACCTCCAGAAAAGCAACACTTAATTTTAAAATGCATTTTAAAAAATGAAAAATATTTTTTAAACCGTAATTTTAGTTTTAATTCCAAACTAATAGATTATATTTAATATCCTAATTCCACACATATTCAGATAATATACGCGATAAAATGTCTATCAATTTGTGATTTCTCTTTTCGAAATTTGTCAGCAAGTGGGACAGTAGTGTCTTCTCTGAACTGTAGAGATGCGGATACAGGAGTTTTTGGTAACCTTACGTACAGTTTAAAGCAAACGCCTTTCGGTAGCAACTTTATCGTGAACACAGCTGGCGAAGTTATATTGCAAGGTAAGTGGAGCATTGTTTATTACAATAAATTTCGAGAAAAAAAAGATTTTAACCTTTATAGCTTCTCATATTTTTTAGAGATAAGATTCAGTTACTGATCACCGTTAGGTTTCTGTTTAAAACCTAAAATATGCACATATCTTAAAGAAATTATATACTTACTCTCTTGCGATGATCGCTCTCTTTCATATATGATAATTAATGGTAGAACTGGATATATAAACTCTGTATGTCAGACAAAATCTAGGTAATTTAATGAAAAAAATGAATAAAATCCTATGTGACGTGTTTCGTCCTTCAAAATGACTTCTTTAAACTAAATAATATATTTATAAGATGGCGTCACTTATGTATATAGTGGGAGGGAACGAGTCATAAACCAACATCAGTGATATATCGAGAGAAACAATGAAAGTGCAAATACGCTTAAAAATCCTGATCTTATATACAACAAAAATAAAAACAAAAATAGTAGCAGCAGAAAGCTGAATGAAGTCGGTTATGTTGTGCATCTTGGCACATTAGACGCCAGAAATTTAAAATTCGAATTAAGTTAAGCGTCCCTGCATTTTCAGTGTTTCTCTCAGTTGTTTCTTCTCCCTGCGTATAAACGATTCTATCAATTAAAACATTATATACTCTGAAGAAATATTCAGAACGAAACGCGTCACATAGGATTTTTGTATTTTGCCATTCAATTGTCCATCATAATATAACCATTATTACAGGAAAACATTCCTAATTTTCCAGTGAGGAATTTCAGATATTTTCTTTCATTACTGAATATTACTAGTACTGACCACTGCATTCCATAACATATCACGTTCGTAGCCATCCTTAAAAAGAGATATTCAAATGAAAGGCATCAGTTTACACAAGGATAATGGATATCGGTGATTACCAGCTGGCAAAAAATAAAAAAATAAAACAGCAACAAACAATCTGAGGGAACAGATCTTATGCATTATGGCGTTCAGAAAATAATTACGTTTTACCAGAAAGGTTATAAAAAAATTATTTAAATATTATCAAAAATATAATCACATCCATTTTCAACGACTGCAGCCCAACAGAGCCCAAATCCAAAGAAATTTGATCATTGTTTTTTCCCCGTAAAAAGTTTGAAAGACTTTTTTTCAACTTCTTCTTTTGTAAAGTTTTGCTACTTCTGGAGGTGCTAAATCTGGTGATTATGGAGGAATCTGGAAGAACTTCCCATGTTAACGATTTTATTTTGTTTTGGGTTTGTTTGTCAAACATGTCTTTGTATTGTTATTCAGAAGAATAACATCTTTTCTATTTACCAAAGCGGGACACTTTCGACGTAATGCTTCGTTCACCTGATCAAGTTGTTGGCCATAAATCTCATTGGTGATGTTTCTTCCATTTCTTACTAGCTCGAAGTGGATGACACTTTCATATTTCACCAGATATAAAGCAAGGTCTTCTGTGGATGGAATCCTGATTTGCTGTTCGCACAGATTTCCAAGTGTGGTTTTCCGTTGACATGCAAAACCCATTTTTCATAGCCTGCAACAGCGTGATACTAAAAAAAGAGGAAAGTTTGGCATTCTTGGTTAAAAGACTGCTGCAAATGTTCGGTTCTCAAGCAAAATATCATGAAGAAAACAGATACCTTCTTTGTAAATTTTCCCAATTAAATTCTGAAATGCACCATAAACAACGCACTATCAGATCGAAAAGGTGAGAAACTAATTCTAGACAGATTTTTGTACCATTCAACTTTGATTCGGCTTTTGTTGGCTGGCTCATAATTCACAGAAGTGAAATCCATAATTACTTTTAGAAGACAGAAATACAAATAAAAGTCTTGTCCTCTCTTTAGAAATATGAACTTATAATAACTCATATAATAAAAATAAAAACTAATGTCGCCATAAATTCTACTGCTATTTGTTTTTTTTTACGCATTAGTACTTTTATATCATGGCCATTTTATTTTTAACTCGAGAATCTCACATGCTGAATAACCAAAATAAAAAGGATATTGAAAAAGTAGAGTTTATTATTTTCTTTTATTTCTCTTTTTTTATTTCGGGCTATCCTCTTTTGTTTGAAAGTTTTTCAACAACAATAACCAAATCTTAAGATGTTATCGTACAGACGCGTCTTTTAAAACGACCGTCAGACTTTTCTAAATATATCCACCCTACCTCTCATTTAAATAAAAATCTTGCGTGTCCCAATACAACATTTTCATCATTCACTCACTATCATCCATTATTTTGGCCAGAGACATCGATACAAATAATTAACGGTAATCCGATTCCATCTTTCTCGTATAAACCGTTTTCATGTTATCGAAGACTTTTCTGCTATAAAGTAAAAAAAGAAAAAAAAAAAGAAGAAAAAAAAAGAAAAAGAAAACTAAGGCGTAGGTTTCCAAATAAAATATTAAAAAAATAATTAACTGAAAAACTTTCGTTCCTCTTATGTTTTTTTTTTTTTTTTTTACAGGAAATAGTCTTGATTTTGAAACCACCAAAGCTTACCAACTGACAGTAATTGTTGAGGACGGCGGTTTTAAGCAGACGACAGTTCTCCTTATGATTGACGTTCTTGATGTTAACGACGGTCCTCCTAGTTTTCCAAACGCGTCCCAAACAGTTAGTCTCCTGGAAAACATACCTTTAATGACCATTATAGCCAACATGGCCGCCAATGATCCGGATGAAAAGACGAGCCCATACGGTCATCTGATATATGATATCCTTTTGGGGAATAATGAACAAATATTTACCATTAACAGACACTCTGGACAAATCACATTGGCTGGTGAGTACAATATTTAAATATTTCAATATTTTCAAGTTTTTATTCTGCGTCTCTTAAGGAATCAGATTGAATCGGAGCTGGAAAGTAAGTTTACGTTGAGGTTTTAATTTGCTTTTCTTATTATTGGGAATCTGTTCTGCGATGACAACATCTAATAGCAAGTTATTCTAAAAATATGTTTGCAAATAATCAATATTTGATTGACAATAAAATGAATGTTACTTACTTGATATTTCAATAATTACTTACGTCTTACTGAGATGATTGATACAAAGACAAATAACCAGTTAATAAATATTTTGAAAATAATACGAAAAGCATCAAACATGTGCATCACGCACACACATATACATACATATATACACACGCATATATCAAATATTGCGTGCATATACATGCGAGATACATCCATCACACACGCAAGTATATGCGTGTGTGATGTGTATGTGTGCGTGTATTCATGTATACGTGGGATCGTTGAAAAGTTTCCAAGTCGACTGACTTCACAAAATCTGACCAAATGACCAGATATTAAATATTTTTATTGCCTTTTTGGTCGAGTTGAGAACTTTTCAGTACCTCTGTTGGATATTAAATTGAAAGATGAAAATCCGTTTACAGTGTTTGCGATACACGCTTTTCATGAATCTACACCCATATATACAAAAACTAATTTCATAATACGAATAATTGTCTGTGTATGTGGGATGTAACATTTATTTCTTACAATAAGCATTTAGTAATGTAGTTATTGTTTGGTCATATTTGTAAATTATTTTTATAGGCTGTAATGCAGTTGAATAAATTGTAATCACTTAACATTAATGATCACAAAGATGGTAAAAACATCTACAAAACAAGTTTGGCAACTAAAGCAACTTCTAGAAATTATTCACCATCTTCATTGCAATATCTTTAGTGTGTTTAGAAATACTGAACATAGTAAAAATGGCGCCACTAAAAAGTTGTAGCCAATAATATTTAATGAAATATATATTTATACAAGTTTGATTGAAGACTAATAAAAAATGTAATATTTGAGAAAAGAAGAAACTGGCACGGTATAAAAACACCATACAGATAGTCGTAACATTATCAACAAAAATTCTTTGATAATGACTTATTAAAGTTGAAAGAACTTCAACATCATATAACATATATTCAAAATTTTACTGGAAACTAGGAAAAGGGTTCAAAATATAGAAAAAAATATAAAAACCATTAAAAAAAATTTCGTTAGTCTTTAACAGCCCAATATATAAAAATGAAAATACATGCTTTATATATATATATATATATATACATACATACATATATATATATATATATATATATATATATATATATATATATATATATATATATATATAAACGGGGTGGATTACTTATTTATTAATCCGACAGATTTTTATTACGTAAATGTTATTTTTTTGTGGATAGCCGTATTTGAGTGGACGGTCTGTTTTCTTATTAAACAGTATATTTATCTATCTATAAAAGGCAGGATGTGTGTGTGTGTGTGTGTGTGTAACGAATGCACGGCCGCAATTTTCGACGGATTTGCACCAAAAATTTACATGTATATGTTCCAAGTTAGCGGGAAGGCCAAGACCGACTTTGCATTTCCCAACTCCCATCGATAGTGGAAATAATCGATTTTTTCATGCTTCTACAGCAGTTTTCATGTAGTTTGCGGCCATTTTCTACTGGCCAGAGTGAAAGCCTATAGCTGGCTGCCACGAATAGGCAGGAAGATTCTATTGGCCAGCGTGAGAGCCAACAGCTGACTGACACGAATGTTAACTAGCATGCTAGCATGCAAAAATATCGATAGCTGCATTCGTCACAAGTTGGAAAAATTTAAATCTGCATGGCACTTTACTCCAATTGGCTCATTCGCTTGCTTAGACTCAACGTTGATTCTGATTCCGCAGAACTGGGTTGGGTGTGAAAAATATTTGTTGTTAACATTCTTTTTTCATTCGGTTTTTCCAGTTACGAGTCCTTTTTTTAAAGCTGATCGTTTTGTGTTCATTTTGTTTAGTTCTTTTTTTGTAACAGATTTAATGTTTAGTATAGAGCTTAGAAAAAAATCGCAGTGTGAGATAGGCAAGAAGTAAGGCATGTAGCAACATCAGCACGGCAAACTGACACCAAATAGTTTGGGTTTCGATCCTGGCTTGAGGCATTCGGATGTCTAGTCGTATTGAGGTGCTGTGATACAGCGAAACAGTACTGTCTGCAAATGAGACACACACACACACACATACACACATATAAAACATTTAAGCAAATATATATATATATATATATATATATATATATATATATATATATATATAGCATACGTTAAAACTCTATTTTTATCATATATAATTATGTTTAATTTTCTTCTAGGTAACCTGAACTGCGAGAAAACGCCCATTTATATCCTGACGATAAGGGCGAAGGAGTCCCAATCACATAATGCAGGCAGTGCGACGGCTACTTTGACAGTCTCTGTTTTGGATGTAAATGATAATCCCCCGAACTGCCCATTTCTGTCCTTTTATCGAAGCATCAAGGAAAGCACCCTCCCAGGCAGCAGCAACAGTCAGATTATAACTTTAACCTGTACAGACGCTGATACTCCAGCCGTTGGAGGAACTCTTTCTTATTCGATTACAGCCGGAGACCTGTCTGTATTTGCTCTAATAAACAATACTTTGATACTAAACTCCCCACTGGATTTTGACCATGGCAAACGCCAGTATCTTCTCACCTTGACTGTCAGCGATTCTTTGTATCAGGTCAATATTCAAGGGACAGTGGTTGTTACTTCAGTCGATGAATATCCACCTGTGTTCAATTCAGGTAAGTATAAAATTAAATGAATTCTTCAAAATTCTACACATACGTAAGTAAAATGTAACATTTGCTAATCGAAAAATATCAACTCTTTCTAAGTGACAAAAGAATGATTTTAAATTTGTGTTTGATTCAAATGCTGAGGTCATTAGTCTCATCAGTGTCTTTCAACAAGATGATTATTCTTTTTAAAGTTAGGAATTCGTGTCACAACAACTGGAGGAAATACCACAGCATTCCCAGAATTTGAAAACAATTCCTAAATATCCGTCAGTATCATTGATCAATGGTAGAGAAGTGAAAATCAGTTTCTTGAATCCTTCCTTAAACTGATGCTCCATACAAAATAAATGAATGAATAATCAGAAAAAAAAAACAACGAGAAACTTGAAACAAAACTCTTGATAAGTACAAAATAAGATTTAAAATATATATTGTGACATTGCTTAGCAAAAGAGCTTTAAAATATAAACGAAACTGCATCAGATAAAGCTAATGCCTCGTACGCCAGCACAAAGTTTTTTTTATATGACGAAAAGGACCAGGAAAACACTATGCAAGCATTTAGAGAACTGAAGTAATTGTTTGGTAGAATTTTTTGCATGACGACTAAGTTCGGCCATTTTCAACCACAATTCAGCTCGTCATATATGGAGTAAAAATGGTTTCACCTACGATCTAAAAATACTGGACCGATAGGAAAGAGAAGATAGGTGTATAATTAGGTGTGTGTGTATCTGTGTGTGTGTGGGGGGTGGGGGGCGTGTTTTATCAGTTTTTGGTAAATTGTTGAAATTCCCCCATTCCTTTTTTCTTAGCTGTAACTTAATTTTAGTTCGAGGCCCAAGTCAAAATGTATAAACCGATTCTTGTGTATACAAAATATTTCACTGAAAACCATACGCTTTATTTATAAGTATTGTTACTTTATTTCAGCTCATTATTCTAAATGATCCCGGAAGACAGCATTATTGGCCAGATTGTTTTAACAGTGAATGCCATCGATCAAGATTCTAGAGACACAAGCGATGGCATCGTCACGTATTCCCTGCCAAGCAGCAATATTTTGCCATTTTCTATAGATGACACCACTGGGCAGATCTCGTTGGTTTCATCATTGGATTGGGAAACGAAAGGATTTTACTCTTTTCAAGTGACAGCCAGTGACACCAGTCATCAAGCGTCTGCAACTGTCAACGTCACCGTCATCGATGTCAATGACAACCGCCCAGTTTTCGTGAAGGGCTCTTACAGGTGAAGTCATTTCTGCAGAATGTAATGTGTTTCGCAATCTGTTTCTATCTGGACTATTGTCCTCATCTTTGTTGCCATATTTATCACAACGTTTCGGCCGTTGCACGCTCCGGCCTTCTTCAGGTGGTTGGAATGTCGAACTGAACCTTTTATTACGCTCACTGTGGTAGACTGTTCTAGTTCCATGGATGTCAGTTATCAGTTATCTCTTGTTGATTCTCCTCCAAGTTCTCCACCGCCTTAACTAGGTATTGAACTCACGCTCTTTGGGTCCTGTCACTGGATCTAACTAACGCCTTTATCCACTGTGCCATGTGTTCTTAAGGAAAGATGAGGACAATAGTCCGAATTATTTAAATAGTGTACATAATGCCTTATCTCAGAAATATAGACAGATACTGTTTCTATCTATCTATCTATCTATCTATCTATCTATCTATCTATCTATCTATCTCAATCTGTTTCTATCTATTTATCTATCTATCTATCTATCTATCTATCTATCTATCTATCTATCTATCTCAATCTGTTCCTATCTATCTATCTATCTATCTATCTATCTATATATCTATCTATCTATCTCAATCTGTTTCTATCTATTTATCTATCTATCTATCTATCTATCTATCTATCTATCTATCTATCTATCTATCTATCTATCTCAATCTGTTCCTATCTATCTATCTATCTATCTATCTATTGTTATTTTCTGTAATTGCTACTAACCTAAAACATCTGTCGTCGTTGTTGGAGATCGTTTTCAAACGAAGTCAACCACTTCCCTTCATGATAGAATGGTTCTCATCTGGCTGATTAGACAAGCACGGGAACGACACACTTTTTCCGCCAAGTAGGTCATCTGAATAGATCCTGAATCGCAGTAGAGGAATGTCTCTGCGCATGACGCTCTTGACGGTCTTCCTCTGTCTGCTGGATCAACTTTTGTATTTTGAGCAGCGTCATCAACTGGTTCGATCACCTGACAGCTTTTCTAATTGGCTAGGCTAGATATTAGGCCTTCATCGTGACCCAGGTGTGCGTTCTCTCTATCACTTGTACTGATACCGATAGCCATTTCGCCTGACCCCAATTCACCCAAAAACATGTCACAGGAGTCGGCCCTTAGGCATGTGGATAACAGAGAAAACATGGTTTCAATGGTCTTTGACTACAAAGGGTTCCACATTCAACATGCTGTACCTTATCCCACCTGAGGATTCATTTTACACAGGACACGTGGAATTGTTGACATTTTCGCAAATGGCGATAATATGGATTCGTAGCCATATAACTGGACTGAAACACACACTGTCTTGTACACGGTGAACTCGGTCTTACTGATGAGATTCTTGTTAATGAAGACACGTTTAGAAAGCTAAATATAGTAAATATTTAGGATGTATTATGCATAAAGTGAAATAAATACAACGGTAAGTAACACGTTAAAGTTTTGGACATATTTCAATAAACAGTATTCATTATTTAATAGTGTATATATTATTTGATATGACGGATGCCATACGTTTGAAATAGTTTAAGGCAAACTTTTGCAGTAAGTAACAATAATTTTATCCCACTGAGATAATAATAGTCGCCGAATAAAGCAGGCTTCTCGAGATGATATATGAACCTTCATGTTCCTGGACATCAGCAGGGGCATCTTTCTAAGAATCCCGGAATGCAGTTCTGTTCGGTGATAGATAATTTTATGTTGTTTACCGATCATTTTTCATCACTTTCTTGTATCTGTTGAGGTAAGTGTACCGATTGGTGATTGTACATAATCATGTATATTTATTAATTTGTTATTATACGGCTTATTATTCGGACCACCTAACCAGGGCGTGTCCTGCTCTTTCTGTAATCATTCATGTTCTTCTGGAATGGGTTGATGCTCAGAGAGTTAAACCGGTTAGAATTAGCTTCAGCACTCTAGATCTACATAAAGGTGAGAGATGGTTCGTTATTCGTGTCAGTTTTTGATTAATCTCTATTAATGTATCCCGTCGGATCAGAGTCAATTTCAGAATTTTATGTTAGAATTTCTGAGATTACGAGTTAGTATTATTATATACCTTGATTAGAATTATAGTAATAATAATAATAATAATAATAAGAAGAAGAAGAAGAAGAAGAAGAAGTAGAAGTAAAAGAAGAAGAATGATAATAAGGATAAGAATAGAGTTCTGACATAAGCAATTACATGGATTCAAGGCTTGTCATTGATGAAGATGAATCAAACGAAGTTATAGCAGAAATTCTTGAAAACAACATGGTTGAAATTCCAAAAAAACACCCACATCATTTAAATAATCTATAAACTTACACACAAATGTCAGTTTCAATTGTCCAAATGGCGAAGTCCAATAAATATACTGTCCAAATATATTGTGTTGCATTTAAACAGTATTGACGGACAGACCATTAGAAAACATTACGAAAGTAACAGAAAAATGTAATATATGTTTTAACTGCTACCGAAAAACTTAATGTCAAGACAAAGGAAAGATGAGATGAAACAAGAGACAAAAAAGAAACTGCTTCAAAATCAAAATTAAAGGAAAAAAAATCGAGGAAATAGGATATGAATTATAGATAGTGAACGAGATTGCAAGGAATTCAAATGCTTTGGCAGAGAAAAGTAGGAAGGTCAAGTAGAAATATAAAATTAAAGGAAAATGAAATTGTACCAATCAAGAAAATTTTAAACAGAAACGGCAATCAAAGCCACAGAGAACAAGATGATATGAAAAGCGTTGTAGGTCGACAAAATAAGACCTCAGGAAATTACAAAGGGAAATTGGAAATGATGTTATAGGAGTAAAAAAAGCCACCATCTACTGAAGAAGTGCAAAAGTTTCGGGAGAATATTTGAAGGAAGCTAATGTAATATGATTCCATTGTAGAGCGGATCAAAAAGAGCAAGAAAGAAGAAAGGATGTTTGAAGGATGTGTCCAAATCCGAAAGAGGCAGAGGTTTAGTTTAACTAGAACTGTCTTACAAAACATCAACATTCGGTTGTCAAAAATAGTCAGAAACTACTGAAGATTGGATGGATGTCAATGAACATGAAAGAAATGAAAAGAACCACTTTATTCCGTGATAAAGGAAACCAACAAATTCAAAAAGGAATTTCAAGCGACAAAAAAAAACTAAAAAAAAAAAAAGAATGCAAAAGCAAATGCAACGAGCAAGCTGTAGAAAAGATGGCAAAATAAATTTTTACATAATCAATACTCTACCGGTGACAAACAAGCTGTTGCATAGTGCAGGATCAAAAGCTGAAAATGAAAGTTTTATTCTTGACTCACGGGACCAATGCCTGTTAAACTAGAAACTATCAAGCAAACATTGTGATGAACCCAAATACAGATTCTGCGATGATTATCCTGAAACAACCATCCTGTATCAGTTTCCATGGATTATAAGAATCGGCATGACTGGTTGGGCCAATATCGACTCTGGAAAATCTGAAACTTTTATGAGAAAGAAACCTTAAGAAATTAGTATGAACACCACCAAGCCCCAGTTACTGACATAGTGACTGTAACAATTTTATATCACTTTACAATAGCTGCTGACAGAACAATCAAAGCTGACAGCCTATAAATAGTTATAAAAGACCACAAAACTGAACGTGCTTTTCTTACTGACATGGAAGTTCGTACGGAATGTGTTCACGTGGAATAGTTTGTGTTCTCTGGTTGGCCTAAACGCAACATTGACTGGTGACTTATAAGTTGTATTGATTGGTGATCATTTTCTCCCAATTGTGGTCTCCAACGGCTATTGGTTATTCCAGTATTATAACGCATAGTATTACCTGGACCAATTTGCACAGAATTGGCTAAAGGAGCAATCTGGAAATTTCCGAGCGTTGGTGTAGCCACCACATTCGCACGACATGAGCTCAATCGAACATTTATGGCGCATGGTGGAGAGGTATATTTGGACGCAAGTTCCTGCATCTACAAATACTGGGCAGCTGTAGACAGGTATCGATTGATTGATTTGTTTTTTACGGCTTATCAACCTTTTGTGGGTTATTTAAAGCCAAACCATATTTCTGGTTGTAGGGGATCGCTTACAATAGCGCCATCTAAAGTACTGACCGGGATTAGCGTTGCTTAACTTCGGTGATCGAACGAAACTGATGTTTCCCGCGAGACAGCGATCGAGATGGTGTGGCTCAACATTTCTTTAGCTACTTGTGAAATTGATTCAAGGTTGAGTTTCCTGGAGGTGGTCCTATACAAAAGTAGCCATTTTTGGCACGTCAGGTATATCGCCTGTCATTCTTGTCGTATTTTTGGCAAGGACTAATATTTTAAACATTTCTTTAGTAGAATTCATGAAATATTAAACGAAAATGAAGAACACAGGACGGATGTATTTTGAGCAGTCAATGATATGAAACACATAAATATGATTCATAATGGCATAAAACCCATTTTTTATTGTCCATTACAGCCCGAAAATATCGGAAACCGTCCCTATCGGTACTACTGTGGTCAAAGTAAGCGCAACAGACGCAGACGGTCCGTCGAATGGAAATATTACTTATTCAATAATTGGTTTGTTAAACATTTCTGTTCATCTTTTAAATGTTATGATAGACGTACTTTTATTTTCATTCATATCATCAACAAGAATAACATTTTACTTTTTAAAACTAGCGAAAAATCCTGATTCGAAAGTATTAATATATGCTCAAAATACCGCTGAAGAGTTAAGCTCAGTTCAAATACCCTTTTACAAAACAAAAACATAAGTCAGCGTTATCTTACTTATTATAAAACGCAGATTGTGTGTGTGTGTGTGTCTGTACGTTTATATATTGGATCAGATTTCCTACATTTTTTCAACCAATTTCAACAAAACTTCACAGGACCACGTAAAATTACCTTGCAGTGGTTCTGACAGTGCCCAAATTTGAAAAACACAATTGTTTTTGCACGAAATCAATTTGAAAACACAATTCTGTCGCCAGAATGAAAGGGGGACAACTCATATCGCGTTATACTTATTATAAAACCCAGGTTGTTTTGTGTGTGTGTCCATTTACATATGGGATCGAATTTCCTACATTTTTCAACCGATTTCAACAAAACTTCACTTTTTTTTTTTGGCAGGTAGTGTTTCTTATTGTCTTGTACACTTTTTTCTTTATTTTTACATTCAGAATGCTTTAAAAATTCCATTTACAAGACAATTGTTTATAATAAAATTCTATTCAATTGATAGACTCAACGATTGAAAACAATGTTTTTGTTTGAGTTTGGGTTTGACCAATTCGTAAAAAAAAACAAAAAAACATGCGTGTCCGTCAACCTTAAACAATAATCTTTGTCAATTTTATTTTTTAGTCTTTATGATGGTTGATACTTGATCTATCTCTTACTGTTACATCCCTGGGCAACGCCGGGCTCTACTGCTAGTGATGTATAAAAATGACAAAAAAAATGTTGAATTGATTTTAATACGGATTGTGTTTTTCATTTGACGATATACAACAGTCCGAAAAACCGAGACTACGTGAATCAAAGCCGATATTTTTCCAAGTGAGGTAAAACATTGTAAAATGATAGTCGCAAATTTCCTAAGATATCTAGTTAATTAGTGTAACAACTATACAACAGAGCAACTCATGAACGAAAATGACAAATGCATTTTGATGAGTCAGCGATACGAAACACATAA